GCGAGTTAAAAGAATAAACGCTGTTTTTTTTTTTGTTTTTTGTTTTTCTGCGACGTTCATTTCGTGCGGAGCAAAACGAACGCGTGTTTTATTGGTCATAAACGTGCAGGGATTCGTTCTAAGCCAGGGGTTTCAAACACGCGGCCCGCAGGCTATCAGCTTCGAGTCCCGCGGTTCCAATGTCTCGACCGCTAGACATGGCATGCGCCGTAGTGATCTCGTGTCGTCGATTCATTTTTGCTCGAAAAGTACCTCTGCTCTTTTAACGTATCCACATAGTTTAAACTTATCCGTGTTCATTTGCCCTTTGTATTGTTTTATTTTTTGCTTTCCAGCTTTTTGTAATGCAAGAGCGAGCTATTCGTTGAGGGATGCATCTCGGTTGCGCGATCTCTCGATCAACAGGAGCAACTGCCAAAAATAAAGCTAAAAGCTCGGGATTCTCGCCTTCAAAAAAATATAAAATAAATATCACCATCAAAGAAGCCACGAAACGATTTTTGTACCTTCGCCAATTACTACTTAAAATCACTCACTAACGTTAATAACTGAATAAACTTGACTTAGTTTTTCTTTCTAGGCAATGGGCAGTCGCTAAAAAAATTCGAGAAATATCTATATGCATCGTCTATCCCCTCAAATCTAAGCCAGAACAAGCGGCCACGTGGCCTCGTGCCAATCCTATGCCGCTAAACGGCTCCAGGAATCTAGGAATTGTTACGGCTATTCTCATCACCGCAGTGGGTACACACGAGCCACGATCCGAGTGTCCGCCGAGGCATTGACTGTTACGAGCCGAAGTCGAGTCTCCACGCAGTTGTCGTGTCTAATCTATAAGCCTACACTCAAATGAGTTTGAGACCACTGTACTAATACCCCTGCCAGACGGGCACGTTAAATGACATTTAAGCAAAATGACATTACAGCTCGGCCAATCCGCGTGTTTAATAAGCCACGCTGCGCGTGCACCCGCCACATGCAGAACTATAGCATCACGAGCTGATTCGCCGAGCGATGAATGACATTCAATCAAAATGACATTTACCTTCCCGTCTGACGTGGGTATAGGCCGTATTCGCGCAAAATACATAATTTGTTTTACCGCCCCCTTTATGGGCTAGTTTTGATTTCGTCTTGAAAGAGCAACATATAATTGTTTTTTCTCTTTATATCCAACGGTCGCATTATGAATTGTATTTGAAATGATTACGCGTATCTTCAAATAGATCCGACTTCTGTGTGTAAAGTGCATCAGTTTATTCAGTGCGAATGAAAACTCTGTTCATGTTCATCGCAGAATAAAAAATCTACTATATTTTTCCTTATTCCTTATTTTACTCTTCTATGCTTTGTCTTACTTTCATACAGCTTTTTGTGTTTTTATTCGACTCTCCGCGTAGCTGGGTAGTCTAAAAAACAAGAAAACATAATAGTCCCAGAGTGCCAGACTTCTAAACGGTACGTCCCTACGGTGGGTTTGTACGATTGACGTATGCGAGCCATGTCTGAAGAAGTCAACTAGAGGTGACGATACGTGGGGAGAAACAATTTCAGAGTAAAAGTAGCGCAATATTTTGGCTCAATAGCGTTCTGAACAGTTTGTAGTCGTAGATAGTAGTAATAGGGACTTTTAGCAATCCGCTACTGAGTTTCGCGTACCGCACTACCGGAGCCTCTGAAGCATGCTTCTAAGGGCGCGCCCCGATGATACCTTGAGCGGACGGTAGCGCAGTACGCGGAACACGGTAACGGATTGCTAGAAGTTCCCAATATCAATGTAGAATTCCATTCTAACGGAACCTGACTCAGAATTCGCCACCGTCCGAAGCATGTGCACAACTGCGCGTTTCAGCACGTGTCAACGCGTTATGATCCCCCCCCCCCCCCCCCACACACACACACATTATCTGGCACTCCCAAAAAAGTGTCGTTAGATGGCTGTCCATTTTTCCATGACTCTCATTCTGCGTATGTATGACGGTTTATGAGTTGATGGGAAACTCGTACATTAAGATTGATCGAATTCGCTTGGCTTCTTTCGTGCCTTTGTCAGACTGGCACAGTCTCCGGACCCCCTGGTATCGATCGGCAAGCTTGGGAGAATGAAACAATCAAGGGCTCGAGATTGAGTATGATAATTGAGCTTAAAGGTGTCGCACTAAAAAGGGCAACGAGGATGTCTTATTTTTTTTTTTTTTTTTTAATTTTGGTATTAAACTATCACGATACTTATGTTATGAAATTTCTGAAATGCTGTCATAAAGAAAGAGAAAGCAAGTGACTGCAAAGCAAGTGGGAGCCTTCCGGGAGCCGCGAACGAAAGTGTACGTCCACACGGCCACAGGCGGTCACTGGCGGTCACACGACAGCACGACAATGACCGCGTAGCCTCCGCCGTGCATTGGGAGCGGCCGGCGCTTGGAGGACGGTGACATCACGATGTAGGGGACGCCCCGCTTCTTAACACTGTAAAGTCCCTTCATTGTTAATTTTACGAGTAACGAGAACCAATCCAAATGACGGGGCCCATTCCGCTGAAACAAAATGGCGTCATTCCGTTCATTCTTCTGCTGTGCGCCGCCATTCGCTTCCTTAAAACTGCACCGTCAAGCAGTCGGCGCTTCAAAGAATGTCGCAGCTTGTAAGAATTGCTCTTATGTAGGGACTTTGTAACACCGCGACGTCTTCTGCTTTGCGCGCGGTCAAGTACTGCCAGGAGCACGTTGACAGGTGCTTTGGAAGCAAAAAACAAAACACGAAAAACCTCAATAAATTTTATAACTGAGCTCTAATGAACGGACGATGACGAGGCTTGCATTGGTGGGGAACCCGTATCTGAGCACCACCACAAAAAGCAAAATTCCAAACGGGCACCCTAACGTGAGGGCCGGTTTATCGCGCAGTGCAGCTGTTCCTTCATTTTTATTGTTTTCGCCCGGCAGCAGTCTGAAATGCTTGGATGATAGCTGCTCCGGTTGCTATGTCCGTGCTCGCGCGATAGGTTGATCACGTACACAAGTCGAAATATCTCTACTGTATTTTTTTTTCATCACTTGATACACCTTGTGAGAAGTTGTTTTGAAGGTAGGTGAGAAATGTGAGCTAATTGTGGAGTCCCAAAATGATATATGTATTATTCTGTAACCCAGTCTCTGCTGCTTTGCGTAGTTGTGTCTTTGGGCTTGCTTGCTCCGATTTCGGATCACAATATCCGTACTGAAACTAACGAAAAAAATGTGAAAAGAAAACATAAATATGTGATAAGGAAATTTATTTCCCTTCGCAATTTTCTACCGTTGCTTTTTCATGCAAAAATGATAACTTTATTACTATACGAGAGTTATTTCTGTTCCCCGCTTTCATCTCCGTCAGTGAGGGGGGGGATCAGGTACCAGCACTATACGTAATGCGTTTTCTTTCTTTTTTTTTTATATTGAGCCTTTCAGCTAGAAGACTGCTAGAAGAAAAGCGGTATTGATACGACAATTAATAACCTAGAAATAGACGTCAAACTGTTTATCAATCAGGGATGGTTTTATATATTCCGATTAAATTTTACAAGACATCACTGCAATCACTGTTCAAATGTATAAACTCAAAAGCGCAACAAAGCCCCGTCATCTGCAGTTTAAAAGCGCGCACGAAAGGGACCCCAAGTTCATCGCGTGACTAGCGCCATGTTTAAAAGCGTGCAGAGAGAGCAACGACGCGCGACCGAGCGCAGAGCCGTCAAAAGCAAGCGAACCACGGCGGCGCGCCGCAAGAGCTGTCACGACAGCACGCCGGCGTCGCTAGTGCGACCGTGCGCCCGTTTCACCGCGTAGCGCAAAGGCGCACAACCGTCACGAGCGCACTGCGCCGCTCGTAGCGCCATCTGTACTCTGACAAAGCAACTCAAAGAGGTGTCCGCGTCCTTGGTGCGCCCGTCTGCCCTGTCTTCCCCACTCCACGCGACAGCGCGCTCGTAGCGCCATCTGTACTCCGACAAAGCAACTGAAATAGGAGCCCGCAGCGCCCGTGCCTGCTTCCCGGCGCGCGCCCCTCCGCGCACCTCGCCATTGGCGCTCCGCAATAGCCCCTCCCCCTCCCCGGCTCCTCCCCTCTTCTTAGGCCACGCCAGCGGCAGACCAGCGACATCTTTACCAGACGCGGGTTCGATCCGCGGTGGGCCTATTTTTTTTTTTTTTTTTTTCCTCAAACATTTTGTTTTGTCGAGACATTTGGCGATATTTACGACATTTCCTTTTTTGCGATGAACAATAAAAAAAAAATAAAAAAAATGAATGTTGTCGAGAAACTTCGCAGAACTAAATGGTATCGGACTCCCTTTCCGGAGGTGCGATCGGGGACAGCGGGGCTTGGAATGCCGGCTGGACGCCGCGAAGCGGCGTGTACTGGTTACGCTTTGTAATTAGCAGCCGATACTGTCGCCGCGAAGCGGCGTGAACGCAGGCGGGGGGCTGTGTTAACGAGCGCCCCAGTGATTCACGCGCCGTTCGAAAAGGGTGGCCGGAGCGGCATGATCTCTCGGAGGAGTGCGTATAGCCATTTCCGCGCGAAGCGCACTCCGGAGTGCGTATAGCTTTACTCGTCGATTTAAGTTAAAAAAAGGTAATAATAAAAGTAGATAGAGATTCTTAATTTCGTGTGCCGTTAGACAAACGTGTGCGCTAAGAGCACAGAAAAAGAGACTGTTCTAAAGGTAGTAGTTCACTTTTATTTTTAATTTTTGCCTGATCTTAGACGATCGAATCGCGGCTCGCGCGCGCTCCGGACTTTCCCGCTTCACCTGCTTCACTCTCTAACGCAACGAGAAATACTTTTACGCATATCGAAGTATATATTTTCCGAAAGCTAATGAAATTCTCCAATAGGTGTGAAAAGCACTTGGTTTTAAACGAATTATTCTTCTTTTTTTTGCGGAAAAACTCAAATCACTTTCGTTTGGCAAATAATCAAAAACTCGAAATTAAAGGATAGTATAATGGACGTACACTTACCCCAATGTGTCGAACGAAAGGAGGCCCTTTGACGAAGGCAGGAAGCGTGAGGCGACGTTCGGGGTCCGAAGAAGAAGAAGACCGATTTCGGAACAAAGAACAAAGAAGGAGCTGGACACGGGCGACTACGCGACTGCTCCCAAGCACAACGGAAACCACACTGGGGCCGGCCTCTGGGAACAAAGGAAAGCGGAGGAGGATGAGCGAGGAGGAGAGGGAAAGAGAAGGAAAAAAGTCGGGAAGGGGATCGCGCCGCCTGGTGGAGGGCAGACACACCACTCGCATCGGGTATTTTTTTCTTTATTATTTTGTTTATTTTTTGCACTATTTATTAAGGGAAGCATTCTCGTTGATCTCCCTTCATTAATACTGGTCGTATCTCATCACCGCTAGCACCGATGTGTTCCTTGGTCTTTCTAGACTCTACGGACACCACTTTGAACGTGTGAAATAAAAGTTTTCGCGATGCTACGACGCTTTTACCGTGGGCATGGTCATGGCGGCCATTTCTACTTTTAGAAACCTTTGTTCGGACCTCCGAGGCTGAATTTTCGTTTCCGAGACGCGATGTTGGTGTCAAACGTGAGCAGGCGTTTCGTAGAACACCCGACGACTGTACTTTACCTCTGATCGAGTGGATATTTTACTTTACGAGCACTGATGCGACTTTCCACAGGAAAGCACCAATTTTCGGGTTCGATATTGCTCAGCCCTCCTCCCTCGTACGTTTTCTTGAGAAAACTGTTTTTGTTTCTTGTTTAGCAACGGCCAGCGCACCTTTCGAAAGTTATTAGAAAACTTTATCTGCTCTGGATTTTAAATAAAGACACACCTGGGTCCTGTAGCCGAAAGATTTTTTTTCTAAGCTTTGGAACCTCCTTTCGTAAAGGTATGCCTACTGAAATTTGAGGCCTCTGGTACCTTGCTACCTGTGAAGTTTCAACCCTCTGGATCCATCCGTTTTTCTCTGACGGCCAAAATTTGAATGCAGGCCTGTCTTAGTAAATCACGTTCAGGGGCTCTGGAAGCGGGGGGGGCAGGGTGGGCTTGAGCCCCTCTTGTCCTCAGGACCGAGCTGCCGAGCCCCCCCTCCACCTCCCTCTTTTTTTTTTTTTTAGTTTGTGTGTTTGCAGGTTATCTGGTATGGGCCTTCGGCCTATTTCCTGTACCTCCGTCTCTCCTGAGCCGAAATAAATGAAATGACTCTTTATACATGCTGACCTACCGCCCTCCTCACCTCCGCCAAGCACAAAAAGCACCGGGGCGACGGAGAGGCTTGCTTGAAAAGTCAAAACCAGAAGAAAATGACAGGCAGGACTCATGAGCCTGATTGACAACCAGTTTAGAGCGAGCAAAGAGGAGACAGCGAAATGAATGGATTCCGACAAGACGACGTCGGCCAGCGTTTGTCTGCTTCCCCCGTGTGGAAGCAAGAAGCCCAGAAGATGCATGGTGCTTCTGGCCCGCGGACAAAACAGGCAGGCGCTTAAAGGCCATCATTAGGAAAAGGGGGAGGGGGGGTCTGGTGAGCTTGAGTGGGGATTCGGGAGTGCTTAGAAAAGGCGAAAGTCTACGAGCTCCCAAATTTGACAAGGCGCCTTTGATGGCGAAAGCTTTGCGCGCATGCGGCGTCGTGCCCGCAGGGTGGTGAGGCATGAGGCGACACATGTTTACAAACTAAGGACAACACAACACGAAGTCTGAAACACAGCTATTATCCTTCAGTACTCTCCTTTTGTGATGCCCCCCAACTTGTATTGACGCCAGGAGTCCGAAGCGATCACGGTCGATGTACTTGATCCCGAGGTACATACCGATGTATGCAACCTCTGCTTCCAGTTAAGACATCCGATGGCCCAACTTGCTGTGTTTGAGACTCCGTGTTGTGTTGTCCTTTTTTCCCCCGAGTTTCGGGGTTTTGTCTAAAACTTTTAACACTTGTTTGTCTACGTCTGCGTTAATACATCATGCTTCCCCGAGAATCCCTAAATGAAGGAAGGTTTTCATTTTTAGACATAGCCAATTTGGCATAGGCACAGCTGCGGTTGACATGTAACAGTTGGTATAGGAAAGAAAAAATAAAGAACACATGGTGCGGCTGATTTCAGTGGTTATCCAATCATTGTATGAGTTGTCAGTGCAAGCTTCTTACTGTTATTTTACTGAACCATTGTTTTAATTTGTTTTCCATGGATATGTGCGTGAATATGCGAACGCGGTGCATTAATATGTTTTCATTCAAATGTGGCAATTAATGTCAACCTGAAACCAACCTAACCTTGAGGATTTCGGAGATGTCGAGCCCCCCCTCTAAAGAAAGACTTCCGGAGCCTCTGATCACGTTTGTTTTGATTAAAGTGTGTCTCCACATGTTACGGGGTGTGGGCTCTGTAGGGTTGTGTGGAGTCCCTCTTGCAGCACAGATGTGCATTTGTCCTCACCGTCTCTGGAAAAGACGACCATAACTCAGAATGAACGTCCCTCGGAGACGAAAGGCACACTTTTGGTTTGGCGCAGAAACAACGCCCGCGTTCAGATGTTGGCCGTCAAGTGAAAACGGACTTAGCTTGAGGGTTCAAACTGCTCAGATAGCAACCTAGAAGGTTACTCGTGCTTCAGTCGAGCTCATCTTGCACCAGAAAAAGCACAAGGGGGGAAAATAGGAGTGTGGGAGCGGTTGTACTGTGGCGGCATGTCTAGAAAAAGCTCAAAAGTGATTTGTGGAGTCCCTCTTGCGGCACAGATCTGTATTTGTCCTCACCGTCTCTGGGAAAGACCACCTTAACAAAAGAATGGACGTGAAAGTGAGGCAAAGGGCGTAGTTTTGCTTCGAGGTAGAAACAGCGCCTGCGTTCAGATGTTGGCCGTCAAGTGAAAACGGACTTAGCTTGAGGGTTCAAACTGAACAGATAGCAAGCTAGAAGGTTACTCATGCTTCAGTCGAGCTCATCTTGCACCAGAAAAAGCACAAGGGGGCAAAATAAAGAGTGTGGGGCCAGTTGTACTCTAGGGGCATGTATACAAAAAGCTCTGCAGGAACAAACCTTTTCCCGAGGTGGACAGCAGGGGCCTGAAGACATAAATAAAAAAGAAGTGACACATTTAACGAGTCTTCACTGCGCTAGAAAAACAAGAATCAGCTCATTTCTTTTTGAGACCTCAGACTTTATTTAGGCCAAGAATACAATTTTTCAGACGAGCTGTCTCAATGTAAAAACACACTTCCTTATTAGTACCCTTTTGACACACAAACAGTCCTACCTGGTGCGAGACCCTTCCCCAACAATTTGATAGTTGTACGTACCGATAATGGTTTTCTAATTACGAGCGAGCGGCAGCTCTTTGAAGTCTTGCTCGCGCTCTGGTGAGCCTTCAAACGACCAGCCGCTCCGCCGAGCGCGCGCCGCACGAGATGAATGAATTAAAATGATCTCGCGCGCATAGCGAACGTTCCTTTTACCCGAGGGAGCGCTTCAGAACAAAAAAGCAAATTGTGGTAGCAAATGATGAAGCGGTGAGCAATATCGAACCTGAAAATGACTGCTTTCGTGCGGGAAGTCGCATCAGTGCTCCTACAGTAAACTATCGACTCGATCCGAGGCAAACTACAGTCGTCGGGTCTTCTACGGAACGCGTGCTCACGTTTGACACCAACATCGCGGCTCGGAAACGAAAATTCAGCCTCGGAGGTCCGAACACAGGCTCGGAAAGTACAATTGGCCGCCATGACCATGCCCACGGTAAAAGCGTCGTAGCATCGCGAAACCTTTTATTACACACGTTCAAAGTGGTGTCCGTAGAGTCTAGAAAGACCAAGGAACACATCGGTGCTAGCGGTGACGAGATACGACCAGTATTAATGAAGCGAGATCGAAGAAAGGATCGGTGCCTAAAGTGAGGAAAGCGAATGGCTGGCTTCGATGTGAAAACTTTCAAACGCCGTTTATTTCGCGAAACTCGCATCACACAAGAAAAGAAATCGGTCTCTGTCCAGTCCAGGGGCGGCTGGGAACAAGTGTCCCCCATTTGATATCGTAAATTCAAGGTCGTAATATAGATATCAGAAATTCAATATTTTCAATGGTAAAACAAAAGGCACCAGGTGGCGGGATTTACCGACCGGTCGGAATTGCTCAGCCGCACTCATGGATCCATTCATTCGAAACGGGTCATCTATCTATTCATTCATAAAAAATGTAATTCCTGGCCGTGTTTTAAAATTAACGAAATCATACTGCGAGGTAAAGCTTCTGTACACCTGGCGTTTTGAAACCTGCCTGCGTCCAGCGTTCTTTCATTTTTGCTGTCACGTGACACGATCCGCCCGAGTAACTCGGGTTTATTAGGGTGAGATTTGAAACACAGCCCTGGTTTAATAACACCAAGCTTAGAATTACGGGAATCGTCTTATTTTTGAAAACGAGACCCGTGTTCCACAACAAGTTTAAATTATTTAGGTCAAGTATTTAGAAATTTACCGCCCATTCGTGGTTCTTGTTTTGGTTTTTGCAAAAAAAGCAAATGGCTGCCGCGTGTTTTGCTCGCAACCGGAGGTGATTCAATCGCACGAAGCTCGGAAAGTAGGCTAGCTAGGACATTTATTTTAACCAGGGAGTAAGATTATGTTCCCAGGAACATTCGAGGCGCGTCTCATCGATGTAGGTATTCTAAAAAGAAAGTTATCAACAGAAGTTTACGTGTAAGTAAGGCTTTCACTGTACGATGTTTTGATTTCACATATGCTCGTATAAAAAAAACTACGATAACTAGAAAGTTCTAATTCGCAGCGAATGATCGCGCTCTGAATTTAGACGCACTGTTAAAATTTCATCGCTCCAGCTAGTCTAGAACTCGTTATATTCGCGAAAACAGGTTTTGGGACTCTGCTCGGAAATTAACAAGCCCGACCAAGTTCAATCGTTCGCCTGTGGATATTCAAGACCGCTGGAGTGCATTCATCGATTGTGGTCGTGAAAACAACATCATAGGAACATGTGTGTGCAGTGAAACCGTGTCAGCTCATCTCAATCGAGACTCATCGATCAACAGGGAGGGTGTCCCGAGCACAAGTGGATGGATATACTTCAAAGAGCTGCCGCTCGCTCGGAATTAGAAAACAATTAAGCTATCCAATTGTCGGGAAAGGGTGTCGCACCAGGTAGGAGTGTTTGTGTGTCAAATTTCTTCGAGATAGCAAACGCAAAAGTTGTTTTATCGACCTAATAAAACCGCTCGGAGAACTCGGCTCATTTCTGGTGTTTTTTCTTTTTTTTTTTTGTTGTTTTTTTGTAGTGAAAAAAAGATGACTCTTCAGATTACCATTTCTTTTAGGTAATTGAGAAGTTGCATTAAAGAAACGGCCTGCACAGTAAATACAAATGGTTCTATTGCGATTATTTCA